ACATTTCATGTGACTCTTTGTGTATTTAGATCACTCCAGATGGGAGAATGGATGGCAGCCGTTGATTCCAGTGGCACAATATGAAGGTCATGAGGAACAGCTCCGTCAAAAATTGCTCTTTAAATTCATCAGTGTAATTACACTTTATTGCAGGCACCGGTGACAAAGCAGGAAGTATAGCAAGAAACTCTTGATTCTGCCTTTGCCCCAATACTCACAATCTGTCTATATGTTATCACTCTGAACTAAATTAAGGAGATCTGTTTTTACTCTTGTTACATATTATCCAAGTGTGTACCTCTTCTCCTCTATACCTCATCTAAAGGTGCTCTGGTGGTGCAATGGTTAAGCACCCAGCTGCTAATGGAAATGTCTATTCAAACCCATCCAGCGGCTCCACAGGAGAAAAGACCTGGCGTTCTGCTCCCATAAAGATTACAGTTAAGGACACCCTATGGACAGTTCTACTCTGCCCCATAGGATTGCTATGAGTCGTAATAGACTGAGTGGCACACAACAACAGTACCTTATTCCTTTGCCTTCCAATCAAACCCACTGGATTTGAGAAGATTTTAGCATTGTGTACAGAAATGCTTGTAAACAGTTGCAGCTACCTAAAAATGAAAAAGAGTCACATTAATAGTAGTGAGCACCCCAATAAAGACTTGAATAAGTAATTGTAGTGGTGATGCTGGAAAGATTTCTGTATTTTCAGTTTGATTTATTCTTCTGTAATTCAAAAATTCTATTATAAGTCTTAAGGATAAGTAATCTACATTATATTACCTAACCAGTCTAAAATTGTAGATTTTTATATAACTATGTTATCAAGAATATTCACACAGCTACTTTTCAGACATTAAGTGGAACTAATAAATTTCGAGGCACTTCTAGGTTGATATTTTATATTCATAAAATAGTCCTTCAATTCTGTTTGGTAAGCAGTTACTGATCACCTACTATTTGCCCAACATAAAAATAATATAAAACTGTTATACAAAGACAACCAGAGAAATATGGAGGGCGTTGGAATAATTGAATCCAGAGAACTATAAGTGATAGATTGATACCCTTCTTTCCACAAGGGCTCAAGGGAAGGAATATAATCCTCCTTTTATGCCGTCTTCTCTCCAGCTCTCCTTCTGAACGGCTCATTTGTGTTCTATACTTTAATATCAAGATTTTCAAATTGAAAAGAAGACTCTAAATGAAATTTAGAATGTGTTGTTTCATCTATACTTTCTTAGTAAACTAGCAGCAAACTGGAGAATCATTTTAAGGCAAAAGCCCACAGCTGGCTTAGCCTAACTCTTCTGACACTTTGAATCCTCTCTAGCCCGGTCCATCCTCCCATAGAAGCCCTTTCAGCTGGGCAACATGGAAAGTCCATTTGCAAAATGTCTCCACTGCGCCAGCAAGAAGCAACCCTGGTGTGCCATTACAGTAACACAGTGCTACTTTGCAAGAAGATGTTACCGAATTGCACTTTTACTATAGGATAGTGTGTAACTTGTCTTTTCAGGAAGACTGATTGTAGTTACCATTCCAGTTTATTGATGATTTCTGACATTCAGATTTCTTTCATCCAAAGCTTCTGAGCAGTTGTCCCATGATGCAGGAAATGGTGAAGATGCATATTTCCCTGGGTAAGGACTGAATAGTTTAACATCAAGAGACTTCAGTTACTTTTGGATAAAATCAGAAGAAGAGTGATTTTGTCAGCACTCCTGCGTTTAACTTTGTCTTTACTTACTCTGTTACATTTAGATACTTGTTACCAGTAGGGGCTGCTTTGTCCGTGATTATCAGTAGATGTGTTGCTCAGATTTCCAGCATCACATGAAATATGTAATGAAAAAACAATAAAGCATAAACGTTTCTCCTTTCTGTTTCATTTCAAGAGTTAGGCAACTTGCCAGAAGCAGACTTACCTTAACTCTGTCTATTCCTAGTGCTCTGGAAGTGAGACTGCAGAATTTTTTTTAAAACACTTTAAAAGCATTTTCCATAGAAAAGTCTAAATTACAAAAGAATAAAACTGAAGTATGAACAAGCAGTGAATAATTTATTCACATGATCAAAAATAATTTTTTTATACTGAGAAGAAAAAGAGGCTCAATGTTATGTCAGTAAATATAACTAACCCAAGCTGGTTTTAGCTAGCAGCTTGAAGTCGCTGATGTTTCCTGGAGAGAGTTCAGATTCCCAGGTTGATACAATGCTCCCTCCCACAGCTCTGACATGTATATAAACTCTGAGATCTCCAAAGCCCACTGCCAGTTCTCTTCGTGGACTGAGTGCAACGGAGAGACTAAAGATGCTTCCTTTCTTACCCATATTTTCCCTAATCTTGCTGTTTGTTTTCAACCCTGCAGATGCCAATGGTCATTACGACAAGATCTTGGCTCATAGCCGTATCAGGGGTCGGGAACAGGGGTAAGTCAATGGTTTGGTTTTTATAAACCTTTTCCCCCTTAGCTTGTTATATGTACAATTATCCATAAAGTTCTTCAAATTTCCCTCAGACCTTCTTTTTGTAACTTGTTACAAAGTAATAAGAAAAAGGATGAGTATTCTATGATATACATGTATTTTAAACTTTAAGAATCACTGTCAAATAACTTCAGTTACTCTTGCTTTTTATGAAATATTACATCATTTGAATATAATTAACAAAATGTAACAGAGCATTATTTTATGATTCAGTTTATTTGTGTTTTTATTTCCTTCCAGAAATCTGGAATGAGGTTTCAAAATTAAAGTATCTGTGCCTAAGGCTATGATTATGTGAACAGTTTGCAAATATCTCATGTCTTGTTAAGGCCACCTTGCGTACTGTTTCATTTAAATTACCAAAAAATGAGTAATGTGTAATGTAACTAGTTCTCTGAATTCTTTTAAGCATTTAATTTAAATCAGTTTTAAATTCTGCATCCCATAAAATTAAAAAAAAAAACAATTCATGTTTCATAGAATAAATTCAGGTACAGCTTAGCATTTTAAAATAGTTATCAGGTGTATATAACCAAGTTTTTATAATTTTTTTTTAAGTGAATCTTGGCACATCATCCTCTGTCTCAGAGGGAGTTTTATAACATTCAAAAGCTCCCTTACCTTACAGTGGAAATAAGACTACCATCTCTTTAAAAGAGAAAAACACTTAAAACTGTGGCAGAGGAGGTTCTAATTTCTTACTTTCATTCAGAAATTTAATTTTGCTCTGTATAGACATGTTGCTTACAAGTTCATTTTAGCACTCGTTAGGGGTGCCTAGCTTCTGTGAGTACTTACCTGGAAAATTACAGACTGTGTGTCTTTGAGCAGAGCAAAACTTGCTTCTTTCGCTCTCTGACCTCTCAGTGTCCCAGGGAGCCTTAAAGCCACCCCCACTCCCAAAATGAGAACATGTTTGGTTTAACAAGCAGAGTCCATGGATTAGCCCCTTTAGATATAATAAGAACAGGATACATCAAACTTAATGGTGCTTGGATATTCCTACTAGGTTAACTTTTTGTAACACTGGGGTTTACTGTCAGGATATAAGATTTTTCCTTTTTCCCTCTCGTTCTCTTCCACAGATCAGTTTTTCCAATGATTCAGCAGAATGGGATTAAGAAACAGATTTGTGCAAGGCTAAAATCACTTCTTTGAAAATCAAATTCACATGTTATTTTTGTAACAATCTGACTGTAGATACGAAGAACTAGCCATCTTTAGGACAGTAACTCTCTTTCCTTCTCTCTTCCTTCCAGCCCAAATGTCTGTGCCCTTCAACAGATTTTAGGCACCAAAAAGAAATACTTCAGCACTTGTAGGAACTGGTATCAAGGTGCCATCTGTGGAAAGAAAACGTAAGTCTCATATTTTTCATAATGTTCCAGGCCCAAGATAACACTACAATGTCTGCGCCTTTCCTTGGGCATACACCATTCTTCTTGAAAATACTCTTCAAAATTGTGACTTTTCTTTTAAAGAAAGGCTCACATATGTGAATTCAAAATTTCTCCCGACATCTCCTCAATTGCTAGTGGAACTCAGGTTTCTCCCTGAATCCACGTGTTCATGGAGGCTGAAGGAGACCAATCCCATGGCAAGGTGATTTGATGTGTATGTAACCAGAATAGAGGATTTCCTTTGTCGGTTCTACTTTTGGTTTTGCCCTGTTTGATACTAGGCGAGTCAGTTAACTTCTGTACCTCAGTTTCCTTGTTTCATAAAAAAGTGGCTTAGAAGAACAAATTAATCTGAAATATCTGTTTTTGTGGCAAAATTTAATGTTTACCTCCAGTTATTTGGAAATTATCCAAACGTTTCCAGTTTACTTCAGAGTTTTCATCAAAACGTAAGGTTGGAAAGGACCTGAGTTTCATCCCCTTATCTAATCCAGTCATCTTTGTCTTAAATTGGCAGTTCCCCAGGCACCCACAACAGTGATAGTGGAAGCCTAGTTATATTTAATATTTCAGTAGCTAAAAGAATGATTAATGATCTATAACTTTAACTTAGTTATAAATTTCACTGATTAACTTGGAATTGGAAAACATTATTTATTACTTAGTAAACATATGAATTGGAATTGACTTGACGACTCAACAGCAATGGGTTACTGGGTTTTTTATTGATTTGATCTACCAATAAACACTGGTAGGAAAGAAACACAATCCTGAGCATATAAAGGCTGAGAACTACTCACGTGGTCCAAATCCTTCATTTAACAGTGATGGAGTAGCGCATTCTCTGTGATAACTTACTAAAACAGAAAGGTTATAGATGCCATCCACAGCCAAAGAAAGAGTGAAAACAGCTCCTCCCAGCTTCCTACTAATCTAGACCCATCCTCAGTAAGGGGTACCTTGAGAATCAGGATCTGAAAGAGAACCTAACGTCATCATTAAACTTCAGTTACCCTAAGTAGGGTGGAGGCATTGGAGGATTGTTCAAAATGTATTTCCAGTCTACTAATATCAGTATTAAATGTGGAATGACTTAACCTCTTGGATCTTTAAGTTTCTTATTCTGTGAAATACAGATTTAATACCTATGTTATAGAGTTCCCAAGAAGGCAAAATGAAATAATGAATGTGAAATTAATGAGTTAATATAACTTACAACATCAATTGTCTTTAAAATGAAGCTGCTTTAAACAAACGTATATACGAAGGTGAGAGCTGTGAGCAGATCCCGAAGTAAAAATCATAGGATTATCATTGTTTCCAAATAAGAATGATGTACAGAAGGTATGTGACATTAACGCCACCGCAGCTCCTGGTAGTAACCAACTCCCTAGACTTGAATCACCACACGATCCTGCTGCTCATTAGCTTAATTGAGCTTCAGTGATCTTTTTTTTTAATTTTTATTGTGGTGAAATATATGTAACAAAGCCTTTGCTATTTCAACCATTTTATGTGTACCATTTAATGACAATTATGTTCACCACCTTGTGCAACCATCACCACTATCCATTTCCAAATTTTTTCATCCCTCTTAACCGCAACTGAATACCCCTTCAGCAGCACGCCTCCCCATTTCCCCTCCCTCTCACCACTGCTAACCACTAATAACCTTTGGTCTCTATGCATTTGCCCATTTTTTGACCTGGACATTACTCCTATCAGTTGAAGATGGTCCCGTGAGTCTTTCATACAAGTCTAGCCTCAGTCAGTGGTTACACCGATCTTGGGTAGGCTTCAGGCCAGGCCCCAGTGGGCAACTTCAAAGCCTTGGGTTCTCTTTTTTTGTTCTTTATATTCTTAGATAGCATGAGACAAATTCTGAATGCACACTAACTGGACAAGAAGGACCTGCTCTCTGAAATATTTAAGGGCAATTTTTATTGCATCCTGCCTGGAAGTTAGGGAAGTGTGGTATAATCTTCAACCAACTAAATATATTCAAGATGTCAAGACTTGTACAAAGCATATGCCAAGATTCTTTCTTGCCTTCCATTAAAAAAAAAACAAAAAACCCTGCTTTGAAGCCTGGCTTTTTTATCAGAAATATTACAACATATCCTTTGTTCAATTATACCTAGCTTATTTTCCCCAAGTAGCTTCAATTTCACAAATTTACACCTATTCCCTGAAATAGATACAAATGGAGTTTCAAATTGCAAAGAAATCAATAATATTGACAGTAAAAATACCTGTTTACCACCTGTTTACCAGCTGCTAAAATTTCCAGAGACATTTTAGGACTTTAGGTGTCGGCTGATGGAAACGTTCACCTGGTTAAACGGTTGCTTTAGGGATTTGGGGGAAGTAAACTCGACAAGTCTAAAGGAAACCTTGAAGTCTCATGAAGTTTACCATCTTACCCACAATATAGATTGGTCCAGCAATACAGCACTCTGTAGACTCACTTTAGAGAATGTCAATGATGTTTTCAGCTGGCAGTTTCATGAGATTTACTCAGAAATTCCTTCAGAAAACGAAGATAAATTTTAGAGCTGCACACAGTAATGATTTTTCTTTACTCTTGCTTTGTCCTTCCGATCAGATGGAAACACTGAGTTTTGCGTAGCATAAATGGTTTCCCGAAAAAAACTACTTTTTTGTCTTTAAAATATCAACTCAGCCATATTTTTCAACATCAGCTGAAATTACTATCAACCGTTTGGAATTTTGTTCTGTCTGATGCATTAATTCTCTACATTAAGGCTGATACTTGGGTTTTATTAGCATGTGTTATAAAAATTTGTGTTAAATTAACGATTTCCCCTTGAATTTGCTATTTTAAGGTAACTACAGTCAGTCTCTGGACTAAAAATAGCATCTTCTTGAATATTGTACTTTAATAACTTAAATTTATTTAAATTGTTTTTTTCAAATTTACAAATGTTTGTAAAACTAAATAGAAGATTTTACAGGCACTCTAATCTGATAAAATGAATTCAAACCAATAATAGCATTATTTACTTTAATTAGCAAGTATATCAATTTCATTCATTTGAAATGGGTTAATGTACTCTCTGCTGTTTCTAATAACGTTGTACTAATCAAAAGTTCTAGCTGTTTATAGCTCCAAAGTGATTTCAAATGCATCATCTTGAGAGTCACAGCTACCCTGTGAGCAGGTACTGCAGTTACTATATCCATGTTAAATAGTTGTGGAAATGGGGGTTCAAACTGGTTAAATAACTTGCTCAAGGTCACATATCTACCAAGTTGCAGAACTGGGATGCAAAGTCTGTTTCTCTGGCTCTAGACCCTGGGACTTTTCCACAATGCTTTGATGCTGTAGAGAGAAATCAAACTAATGTGAATATGTTGGAACCATAAAAAAAAACTGATTTCTAGACTCTCAATAAGTAAATCGTGGCAGTAAGTGATATGTTTAGCTAAATTTATATCAAAATGTATCTTATTTGTTCCCCGTTTGAATATTAATTTTCTCCCAATGTACAGGACTGTGTTATATGAATGTTGCCCTGGTTATATGAGGATGGAAGGAATGAAAGGCTGCCCAGCAGGTAACACCTCAGTTACTTAATTAAACCAGAAACTTGGCTTAGTGAAGAAGAGTTGAGGTAGCTTGTGGAGAAGCCAATTATTTATGTGTGTGTGTGAGTGTAGGAGAGTGTGTGTGTATGAGTGTGTGAGTATAAGTGAGTGTGTATGTGAAAGTGAGTGTTAGTGTGTGTGTGAGTGTAGGTGAGTATGTGTATGTACGAGTATGTGTGACTGTTGGTGAGTGTGTGTATGAGTGTGTATGAGTATAAGTGAGTGTGTATGTGAGAGTGTTAGTGTGTGTGAGTGTAGGTGAGTGTGTGTATGAGTGACTGTGTTGTGTGAGTGTGTGCATGAGTGTGTGTGAGTGTGACTGTGTGACTGTGTGTATGAGTGTGTGTGAGTGTAGGTGTATGTGTGAGTGTAGGTGAGTGTGTGTATGAGCATGTCGTGTGTGAGTGTAGGTGAGTGTGTATGAGTGACTGTGAGTGTTGTGTGAGTGTGAGTGTAGGTGAGTGTGTGTGTATGAGCATGTGTGTGAGTGTGATTGTGTGTAGGTGAGTGTGTATGAGTGTGTTAGTGTAGGTGAGTGTTGTGTGAGTGTGTGTATGAGCACTATGTGAGTGTAGGTGAGTGTGTGAGAGTGACTGTGTGTGTGTGAGTGTGGGTGAGTGTTGTCAGTGTAGGTATGTATGAGTGTGTGTGAGTGTGTGTGGCAGTGAGTGTGTGTATGAGTTTAGTTGAGTGTGTGTGAGTGTGAGTGTGTGTGTGTCTGAGTGAGCATGTGTTTAGCACCATGATAACTCCAAGATCTATTCCCACACATGATATGTTAAACAAAAATTTATTATGCTGACAAAATATTAAAACATTGCTTACACACTGCACGCTGGCCAATACAATTTGAATGATCATAGTCATAAATTTAATTAGTTCAACTTCCCTCAAGAATAAAAATCCCCCCTACGAGACCTACTTCTTTGAACTTGTTTAGAAACAAGTAGCTGACTGCTTGGCAAGAGATTATTGTCTCTAGTTGAACAGTCTTCTTTTTAATGTTCTTCATATCGAAGTTTGGCTTCTGTAACTCTGCCAGATAGAGAAAAAAATCGTTCATCTATTTCTTCTTTGAAATAGCAGCCAATCAAATATTTAAAACCAATTATTACACCCCTTTTCCAACTAATCTTTCTCCCCCGCTAGCATCTTCTCTTCTTTTGGCTAATCATTCCCAGTTCTTCTAATTTGACATGGACTCTGGAGTCCTCACCACCATGGACACCATCTCACAGGAAGTCTGCAGTCCAGTAATCTTCCTGAATGTGATCTCTGACTGCTGTCTACAATCCATGTGGCTCTGAACAACTGAGAGGATATTTAGACAAATACTTCACTTTTTGAGGGTCACCATGAGTTGGAACCGACTCTGTGGCGCTTACCAACAACAACATCAACATACTTTGGTCTGGAGTCCTTGGGCGGTGTAAACAGTGAATGCGGTTGACTGCTAATACAACTGTTTCACACACACACACACACACACACTTTGGTTAATGTCATTGGTAACCATGTCGTATTATTAGCTCAGATGGTGCTTACAACAAATTAAAATTGACCACAGGTCTTTTGTACATGAATTCTATCCAGTGGAATCGCTCTCTAGGATTTTTTTGTAACTGAAGTATAGGACTTGAGTTAACATTTTCACTTTGTTAGTTTTGACTCCGTTTCCTCATTCTTGTGAAGTCTTTTTAAATCTTGATTTTATAATTTGTTTGTTGCCTCATCTAGTCTTGGGGTATTCACAAATGTAATAACCCATCACTCCCAAGATATTACCCAAATTAGACTTATTTTTAAATCTTAAAGAGTCAGAGACAAGAACAAGTTGGTTGCACCATACTAGAGACATCCCTTTGGGTAGACATTAATACATTAATCTTTCTTTTGAAGTGCAGAAGAGACACTCTGGAAGTGTTGGATGCTTTGATCTAGTTCCTTCATGCAATCATGATGAAAAGAAGCAGGCCTACACATCTCTTTTAAGGATCCAAATGCTATAAAATGCATATCCCGACACCCACAGCTTCATGGGACTGAGGCACTTCAAGCCAACAGGATAGGAATTACTGCCTCTGCCATTCTCAGTGAGACATGAAGACCACCGGATTTTTGTCAAATGAAATCACCAGAGATATTTCTGATAATGATAATTGAACTATTATTGACATATCAAAAATCAGACCTAAATAGACTAAACTAAGATGATAATTTACAATATATTTCCCTCAACACATAGGATATATTAAATAACAGTTTTTAATCATATTTTTATTAGTAGGCACTCACTCAAAGGCAACTTTCATATAAAATTGATGATTCATAGTTTTATTGCTAAATTTATCAGTTAAGTACGTCAAGATACTTAGTGTGAAGTTGAAATGATTGTGAAATAATATTCTAGGAATAGTATCTTAAATCTTTATTAATTTGTTGATTATTTCAGTTTTGCCTATTGACCATGTCTATGGTACCCTGGGCATCGTGGGGGCCACCACAACACAGCGCTACTCAGATGTCTCCAAACTGAGGGAAGAGATCGAAGGAAAGGGGTCCTTCACTTACTTTGCACCAAGTAATGAGGCTTGGGAGAACTTGGATTCGGTGATGAATTATTTTGATTGTTATAATTACTGTTATTTCATTTTAATTGATTTGTTTACGTAAATATTAATGAAGATTTATCTTTCTACTGTGCTTGTATGAGGAAAGATAAGAGGATGAGCCACTGGGGGGAAGGAGGAAACATGTTAATACTGCCATAAATAAAATAACTTCCTAGCAGGCTCATAGACTAATAAAAATAAAGGCAATCAAGAGTGGACTTAAAGGTCACTTACTATTATTCTACTTTTCTTTTTTTGTTGTGAAGAAATACATATAATGTTAGATGACATACCTAATAATCAGGAGCCTGCTAGAGTTTAAAATCTGTATTAAGCTATATTGCAAAGACATATTTACTTACGTATTTTAATTTATATTAATATAATATAGTTCATAGATTGATGGATTTATAAACTTGTGTGTGGAGAGTTAAATGAAGTGTTGTATACAAAACATTTGATTTTCAGACTTTTTTTGCATAAGTTGATTTAAAACACAATAAATTATGAGTCAATTATTTTAATCTGTAAAACCTACCTTCTACTTGAGTTGAAGATAACTTGATAATTACTACTGGAGTCAAATAATACTTAGGAAAATTTAGGCAGATTCCTCTAGATAGCATCTTGCTATATTAACTGTATGTATAACTGCTTGCGGAATAGAATTCCCTCTTCTGACCATCTCTCTCCACGTCTCTGACCACCTCTCTGGTTCCTTTTGCTAATTTCATTCTTGGGAATCTCTGAGTGGTGCAAATGGTTAAGCGCTTGGCTACTAACCAAAAGGTTGGCAATTCAAATCCACCCAGAGGTGCATCAGAAGAAAGCCCTGGCCATCTATTTCTGAAAGATCACGGCCATTGAAAACCCTATGGAACACAATTCTACCCTAATACCCATGGGGTGGCCGTGAACTGGAATCAACTTGATGGCAACTGGTTTGGTTTTTTGTTCTTTCTTGCTTTGCGAATGTTGTTGTTACTTGTTGCGTCGGCTCCGGCTTATGGCGCCCTTATGCCTTAAGAATAGGCCTCATGGAAGTCTCTGCTAGGGACTCAGCCCTGCTCTTTATGGGCACTTCTGATGGCTTCAGCTATCACTGAGTGCATGGAACAATGACGTCTGTGTTGCTTGTACTGTACTTCTTTATCCTTGGAACCCCAGAAGAATATTTTCCTTAGATACGTCATCTGCATCTTAAATAAAAGTTACCTAAATCATATGCCATTTTCTTTATCCCAATGAACAATTGCTTTTCTGCTGCCTTTACTTCCATAATTAACAGTGTCAGTCATCCGATGTTCAGACTTGAAATTGCCAGTCCTCTTTACCGCCCCTTTGTCCAGTTCTTTGAACCCACTGTTAGTCGGCCGTATCTCAGGTTTCATCCAAAGTGACAGACTTGCCTCCTAGCTAATCGCTCAATTTTGCTGTGTATTACCACCAGATAAACCTTCCCAAAGCAGAGTTCTAATCATCATATTTCAATGTCATAAAATCTTCAGTGGATCCCACAGCCAATTTAGTTTACTCCTTACTCAGTGGTGCAGTGATTAAGAGCAAAAGGTCAGCAGTTCAAATCCACCAGCTGCTCCTTGGAAACCCTATGGGGCAGCTCTACTCTGTCCTGTAGGGCCGCTAGGATCGGAAGCGACCCGGCAGAACCTAACAACTGTACTCAGTCATTAAAGTCCTCCACATTATTGGCCCATATACCTTTCTAAATTTCTGTGAATGTGACCCGAGAAGCATAAAAGTACATGCTACCAAACTGGAAACCCTGGTGGTGTAGTGGTTAAGCGCTTTGGCTGCTAACCAGAAGGTTGGCAGTTTGAATCCACCAGGCGCTCCTTGGAAACTCTATGGGGCGGTTCTACTCTGTCCTATAGGGTCGGTATGGGTCAGAATCAACTCAATGGCAATGGGTTTTTTGGGCTACCAGACTGGACCACTTTGTTCTCCCAGTAGTGAGTATGTGTCAGCCGCTGGACTTGGAGTGATCACCACCCCACCCCCCGTTTAAATCCCATCTGCGTTTCAATGCTGATCTACAACACTACTTTAAGAACAGCAGGCCTTCCTCCTCTGACTGCTGAAAACACTTTCTTCTCCTTCTGTCAGTATCTTACTGTGTTTATTTTTATCTGCTGCCATATGATAAGCGCCTTAGAGGTAGAGACTTTACCTTACTTATCACTGAATTTCCTGTAGCATCCAGCACAGTGTAATACAGTGCATGGTATTGGATAGATTAAAAATTACAGGATGAGCGAATTGTTGAATTTATTATAAAATAAATACAAAATCTTTTTAGAACTCAGATATTGTATACAAATACAACGTCATTTTTGTTTTATTTACCACTCAAAGATATTTTACAGACCTGGCAATTTCATATCCCCCTAAGCTTTTATTTTATGTCAAGATTGTCTCCTCATTAACACATTCATTTACTCATCTGTCGTGCCCCTAATAACGTCCAAGCCCTCTATCAGATTCATTAGTCTTCACTGAGTACCTGAATTTAAAAAATTCCCCAATCAGTTGGAGCAATATAACTTTAAGTTATTTATGTCAATTTTATTTGACCATTTGGATAATATAATGAGAAAGTAACAGGACAGTAGAAAAAAATGTGATTCTAAGAACTTTAATAACTAATCATAATAAAGTAAACTTCTATCACTTTCTTTTTCCCTAGGATACCCGGAGGGGTTTGGAGAGCAATGTGAATGTTGAATTATTGAATGCTTTACATAGCCACATGGTTAATAAGAGAATGTTGACCAAGGACTTAAAAAATGGCATGATTATTCCTTCGATGTATAATAACTTGGGGCTTTTCATTAGCCATTATCCTAATGGGGTAAGTATCATTAGTATAAATTACACTTCTGAATAATCTCTCTTTTAATTTTTTGTACCTTTTATATAATGTTCAAAAAAATAATAAAGTGTAGTGAGAACAACGTGAGTGCATCTGATGACTTGCCTCCAAATCTAGGGCATTAAAATGTCCGTGGCAGTGACTGCTCTCCACTAAAGAGTGTCTGTGAAAGAGAAATTAACACCTCATTGACAGTAAACTTAGATGCTCTTAAAGAGAAATTTTTAGTAGTTAATGTGTTTAAATATATATTTTTTCTATCCAGAAAAAGAAATCTCAGAGAATGCGTGTTATTCAGCCTCAGACT